GAGATCCTCCACTGACCCCTGCACCACCCCACCCCACCCCGACCTTCACCCCCCTTCCCAAACCCCACCTTGGTGGTCCTCCGGAGGCTCCTCAGGATGTTCCTGCGGCGCGGATCTTCTCCGTCGGCCGCCTCGTAGGCGGCGCCGGCGTTGTCGCCCTTGTAACCGCCGTGGCCGCCGCCGCCATCTTCGTCCTTCTTCCTCGCCGCGCCCGCCTCGTCGTCGCTGCCGACGCCCAGGCCGGGCCGGTAGGCGGCGAAGCGGCCGAGCCGCGCGCACCGCGCCCGGTAGAGCCGCGCCGCGGCGGCGTTGGCCGGCGCCGCGCGGCCGCGCCGCTCCAAGGAGCCGCCATCGGCCTCGCTGTCGGAGCCGTTGCCGCTGCCGCCGTTGGACGGCGCCTTGTTGATGTTGCGCACGGTGATGATCTTGCCCTGCGTGCTGTCGTGAGGAACCGAGTAGATGTTCTCCTCCTCGCCGCGCGGCTTGGCCGCCACGGCGTCCATGGGCTCGGCGTAATCCGAAGGGTCGAAGGCGTCGGGCGCCGCCGCCGAGCGCCGGCGGGCGTCGCGGGGATCGGCCGCCTCGAAGGGCGGCGGCGCTTTGGGTTTGCCCGGCGGCCTGGCGAAGGCGTCGCCGGCGTCGGGCTCGGCGCAGAGTTTGGCCGACTCCTCGCGGAACGGGCCGGAGCCCGGCGGCGCCTCGGCGTCCTCCTCGGAGTCGGCGGCGTTGGAGTTGCAGAGCGGCGAGGCGGCGCGCGGCGAGCCGAAGGCGTCGTCGCCGGCGTTGTCGTAGAGGTGCGCCGCCTCCACGGCGCTCTTCTTCTCCAAGGCGTCCTTGAAGAAGGCTTGGAAGACGTCCAGCCCGGCGCGGCCGCGCGGCAAGGCGGCGAAGCGCGCCTCGATTTCCTGCGCGATCTCCTCGCCCTCGGCCAGCTGCTCGCGGCTCACCTCGTCGTCCGGCGCGTCGCCCGCGCCGTCGGCCAGGGCCACCAGCTGCACCGGCACGACGTCGGGCACGTCGGCGAGGAAGGCGCGCAGCGTGGCCAGCGAGGCCCGGCGCCGCGCGGCGTAGAAGACGATGTAGCCGTGCGCCGGGCGGCTCTTGCGCGTGCCGAAGGAGGCGTGGTACGACAGCAGCGACAGCTCCACCCGCCGGCGCTGCGCGCCCACCGCCGCCTCCAGCAGCACCGCGGCGCCGCCGCCCGGCGCCGGCCGGCACGGCTGCGCCTGCAGGATGGGCAGCAGCACCTCGTCGGCGCTCACCGGGTCGCCGCACATCAGGCACGCCGCCAGGCGCAGCTCGGCGCCGTCCGACGCCTCGCGGGGGCCCGGCGCCGGCGCGGCGTTGAGGTTGCGCTTGGCGTCCAGCAGCCCCTTGAGGACTTGGCCGATCTGCTTCTCGTTGACGGTGCGGCCGTAGCCGACGCCGGCCGACGCCGGGTCCAGGAAGACGCAGCGGAGCTTGCCGGCGATGCGCTGGCCCTGCTGGATCAGGCTCTGCAGCGTCTCGCCGCCGCCGTCGCCGCCGCCGCGCTTGTTGACCAAAGCCAAGGCCAAGGGCAGCGGCGGCGCGGCGTGGCCGTCGCGGCGGCCGGCGCCCGACTCGCGGCTCTTCTCCACGCTCTCCACCACGTAGGACAGCGACTCCTTGGAGTTGTAGAGGCACAGGCAGCCGTGCGGTTGGAAGGTGGGCGTCTGGAAGGCGTTGACCGGCAGCCGCACGTTGCCCTCGATGGGCCTCAAGGCCAACTCGTAGACCTTGCCCTCGATGACGTACTTGTCGTCGTCGGCACAGAGGGCGCGGATCTCGTTGGCCAGCTCGCGCGCCAAGCCGTCCTTGCCCAGGATGACCAGGTTGATGCGGTCGGCGTCGGCGTCGGCGCGGCGCTGCCGCTCGGCCGGCCGGGCGAAGCGCGAGGCCAGCAGCTGCTCCACGCGGGCGTCGACGCAGGCGGCGCAGCCGGGGCACGTCTCCTTGGTGGGGTGGTAGACGAAGTGGATGTGCTTGAGGACCAAGGCGTCGCGCTCGGCCTGGAGCTTCTGCAGCGCCTTGAACCTCTGCTCTTCGCCCAGCACCTCCTGGATGACGCCCATCTTCTCCTTGCTGGGTTTGGCGTCCAACTCCAGCTCGTAGAAGAGCTCCGAGTACTCCAAGAGCAGCTCCTGGAAGTCCTCCTTGGCTTTGTCGATCAGGCGCTTCTGGTGCTTGCCGTAGATGTCCACGTAGACCGACTCGTCCAGCCAGAGGTAGAAGTCCTCGTTCATGATGAAGCTGCGCGCTTCCTCCCAAGGTTTGCCGGGCGTGACGAAGGGCGAGCTCTCCAGGTTGTCGAGGAACGCCCTCCTCATCTCGGCGCGCTTCCGTTCGGCGCGCAGCTTCTCCAGGTGGGCCTCGTAGAGCTGCTCGCCCGCCGGCGTCTCCAGCAGGTCGAAGGGGATGCGCTCGCCGTCGGCGTCGTCGACGTGGTCGGTGGCGTCCCACGGCGTCTCCTCCAGCACCACGAACCACTTGAGGAAGTCGGGTTTGGCCTCCAGCAGCTTCTCGGCTTTGGCGCGGCTCAGGCGGTCGATCTCGTCCAAATCCGGCACGAGGGCGTCCAGCGCCTGCGGCAGCAGCGCCAGGTAGGCGCGGCGGCGCCGCTCGACGTGCTCCCGCTTGAGGCGTTGCGCGTGCTGCGCGAAGAGCTTCTTGGCTTTTTGGGTGCCCTCCAAGTAGACGTAATCTTGGTACTCGGGCGCCGACCGCATGCGGCGGCTGACGTCCGGCCACGCCTCGTGGTGGCTCTTGACCACGCGGCCCACCAGCCACTCGTAGCGGTCCTTGGCGGCGGCGATCTGCTGGCTCTGCTGCTTGAGCGCCTCGAAGTAGGGGACGATCTTGGCTTTGCCGCGGCTCTTGTCCAAGAGCTGCACCAAAGTGCCGAAAGCCAGCTCCACGTTGACGTTGGAGCGCGCCGAGGTCTCCACCACCTGCAGGTTCTTCTTGCCCAAGGCGAAGGCGTGGGCGTCGCGGATGTAACGCTCCACGCCCTCGTCGCACTTGGTCAGCACCACCACCACGGGTTTCTTGGTTTTGGCCAGCTGGTTGTAGAGGTTGGAGACGAACTTGAGCTGCTCGTCGAAGTTGCGGTTCATGCCGCGGCTGACGTCGACGCAGAGCAAGAAACCGTCCACGGGCAGCTTGCCGTCGGGCATCTGCTTCTGCTCGAAGTCCTGCTCCAAGCCCAGCTGGTCGGTGCAGAAGTACATCAACTTCTCGGCCGACGCCAGCTTGGTGGCCGCCGCCCTCTTGACGTAGGGTTGCAAGGCCGTGCTGCGGTGAGGTTGGAAGGTCTGGTCGTCGATGAACTCCGTCTGCTCCACCACGTGGATGCGGCACTCGGCGCACTCCTCCAGCGGCCGCGCCACCTCGCCCCAGTAGAGGAAGTGGTCATTGTTGACCACCCTGCCCCCGAAGTCACTGGTGCTGAGCACCGAGGTGTGCTCCAAGTGGAAGTCGTCGGCGCCGGGCCGCACGAAGCGGTTGCAAAGGCAAGATTTGCCGACGCCGCATTGGCCTTTCTCCTTCTCGGTGCCCGAGAGCCCCACCACGCTGACGTTGTAGGTGGGCGCGCGGCCATCTTGCTTGCGGGCCATCATCATGGTCGCAGCATGGCGGCCGCGGCGCGGCGTCGGACGGGGACGGCTCTCAGCGCAGGCGCGGCGCGGCCATGCCGGGAGCGCCGGCGCGGCTTCAGAAGGCCGCGGCGGGCGGCGGCGACGGGCGGCCCAGGCGTCGCCCTGAGGAGAGACAGGCAGAGGAGAAGGTGGGTGAGGAGGTGGCGGGGATGGAGAGGGTCGTCCACGCAGACGGAGGAGCTGCGTGGTGGACGCAACTCTTCCAACCAGCCAAAGGTTCTCCGTGGTGGACGCAACTCTTCCAACCAATCAAAGAACGTCCGTGGTGGACGCAACTCTTCCAACCAATCAAAGAACGTCCGTGGTGGACGCAACTCTTCCAACCAATCAAAGAACCTCCGTGGTGGAAGCAACTCTTCCACCCAACCGGATGAGCTCCATGGTGGAAGCAACTCTTCCAACCAACAAAAGACCTTCTGTGGTGGACACAACTCTTCCACCCAACTGGATGAGCTCCGTGGTGGACGCAACTTTTCCACCCAACTGGATGAGCTCCGTGGTGGAAGCAACTCTTCCAACCAACAAAAGACCTTCTGTGGTGGATGCAACTCTTCCACCAAACCGGATGAGCTCCGTGGTGGAAGCAACTCTTCCAACCAATTAAAGACCCTCCATGGTGGACGCAACTCTTCCAACCAATCAAAGAACGTCCATGGTGGACGCAACTTTTCCACCCAACCGGATGAGCTCCGTGGTGGACACAACTCTTAAAACCAACAAAAGACCTTCTGTGGTGGACACAACTCTTCCAACCAATCAAAGAACCTCCGTGGTGGACGCAACTCTTCCAACCAATCAAAGAACGTCCATGGTGGATGCAACTCTTCCAACCAATCAAAGAACCTCCGTGGTGGACGCAACTTTTCCACCCAACCGGATGAGCTCCATGGTGGAAGCAACTCTTCCACCCAACTGGATGAGCTCCGTGGTGGAAGTAACTCTTCCAACCAACAAAAGACCTTCCATGGTGGACGCAACTCTTCCACCCAACTGGATGAGCTCCGTGGTGGACGCAACTCTTCCAACCAATCAAAGAACATCCATGGTGGATGCAACTCTTCCACCCAACTGGATGAGCTCCGTGGTGGACACAACTCTTACAACCAACAAAAGACCTTCTGTGGTGGACACAACTCTTCCACCCAACTGGATGAGCTCCGTGGTGGAAGCAACTCTTCCAACCAATTAAAGACCCTCCATGGTGGACGCAACTCTTCCACCCAACCGGATGAGCTCCATGGTGGAAGCAACTCTTCCAACCAATCAAAGAACCTCCGTGGTGGACACAACTCTTCCAACCAGCCAAAGGTTCTCCGTGGTGGACACAACTCTTCCACCCAACAGAAGACCTTCTGTGGTGGACACAACTCTTCCACCCAACTGGATGAGCTCCATGGTGGAAGCAACTCTTCCAACCAATCAAAGAACCTCCATGGTGGACGCAACTCTTCCACCCAACCGGATGAGCTCCGTGGTGGAAGCAACTCTTCCAACCAATTAAAGACCGTCCATGGTGGACGCAACTCTTCCAACCAAT